AGATTAATGAAAAATAAAAATAAATTTATTTGTGATGACAAACCCATTCCTAGCAAACGTTGCAAATATATCTATCATTTGTTGTGATATATCCCGTTCCCTATCGACAAAGCGCTTGGTGTCGAGGAATGGCATACCAAACACATGATCCACGTCATTGGTATGACACACCCCCATCCATGGCCCACAAAGTGGATTCCAGTCACTGATTTTGCTATTGAAATAATACTGATAGACATTACTCTTTGGATCCGTTTTGTACAGACTCTTCGCAAACGAAACGGTCGGACATGTGATGAGATAATCGCCGAAAGCGTAGCCAATGCTACGTCTGACCACATCCTGACCCGACTTAGCGGACAGACCCGTGAAGTATAGTTTGGCCACATCTTCGCCATTAATCCTCGGCGTCAGAGCCAACGACGAGAACAGGTTTTTCGTGGTATTGTAGGCCTCCGTGTATGTAATGGGCGTCGGGTTGTGGGAGTCATACTTCTTGGGGTCTTCCCCCAAGTTCGAGGCGAATAACATCAACACATTACTGCCCTCGTCCTCGCAGTTACCTATCATTAGGTTCATGCCTTTGCGAAAGTCCCCGGATATTAGCATTTCGTGTGGTTTTTTAGGCAGAAACGTGCCGTCGGCTACCATAAAAGATACCTGTTTTATGGCACCTCCAGCCTCATATGCAATTGCCGATGAATAGGTAGCCAATGTTTCCTGGTCTACAGCTTTCAAACAGTTTATGACTTTAGGCGTGAATGTGCCGGGTGTTTCATCGTCTACGCAGTTTGCGTGTTTTGCCACTTGAAGCCAATACTGTTTCATATCATCCGGACTACCAGTCAGTTCACCCAACGCCGACCCCGACATTAATATAGCGTTTTTGAATAGATTACGAGTTACGGGAGACAGTACTAAAGCGCTGGAACTCACACTACCGGCGCTGGTACCGAAAATAGTGACCCTCTCAGGGTCGCCGCCAAAACTTTTGATATTCCTGTGCACCCACTCCAGGGCCAGCGCCTGGTCCCAGAGACCCACATTTCCGGGCCCGTCATCCGTTCCCGTATATAGGAATCCAAATGCATTTAATCTATTCATATGAGACATATTTTTAATTAAAACTAATTTTAATAATTATTAATTACCGGTAATTAATGGTAACAACAATCACGTCCCCCTTTGTTGCCAACACTTCGCCCCTGTAGTTCAACGCACTGGATGAGCCCACCGAAAACCCGCCTCCATGTGCGTAAAACATAACCGGCTTAAGTCCCGCTGCGGGTCGTCCACTCGTTGTTGACCTCTGTTTGCTAGCATTACGTCCGGAGACCCCTGACCTCATGGTAGTGACAGTCGGCGCCCATATGTTTAAGTAAAGACAGTCTTCGCTGACATTTTTGTTTTGATA